AATTAAAATGATTAAGTTTCCATAAAAGTAGAGATAACCTTTTATAAAAACATAAATGGCAGATAACAAGAAGTGTGTGGACCAACACTGGGAGGTGGTAGAATTTTTATACCTGCCTCCCTCTGTGATAAGCACCCTCCCTCCCATCACTCCTTGGTACTTTGTTCTGTCTGAAGATATGGCCCAGCCCTGGCGTTTCTAAACACAAGCTCAGGCCCATTTGCATTTTGGTTGACAGCTGTTTCCTGTCACCACAGACAGGCTTGCTATGTTTGCAAAGGCTTGGGGTTGAACACGCCTTTCTTTAGACGTGTCACCAGTGAAGTCATTTGGAGAGTTTGCCTGACCTTGATTCTGTGCAACGCCCACACTAAGGATGATGACTTGGGCCCAAGGTCAGCTGCTAGACTTGGGCATTTTATACCTTCTGCTTAAACACTGGGCTCCGACAATTTTCACTGGATTCCCAGGAAGGCCATTTCAGATACTTAAAGGCCTTTCTTAGGGCAGATCTTGAATGCGTATCATTAACTATTCTGTTTATGAGAATAAGCTGATTTGATTAATATCAATCATTGTTGCTAAAACTTGCAGAATTCTTAGCTAAGAGGAGTTGGATATTATGGGAATCATTTTCATCCAGGAACTTCCTATAGAAACTGTTTTGACTAGCCAGCCTGACTTGCTCATTTATAAAATGTTGACTGCATCCCATGCACGGGTCTGCTGTACAATTAGAACTGAAACCAGAATCTATGGGATGCTTGGGAGTCTAGGAACCTTCATATTTGCCACGGAAGTCTAGTAACTAAAGATGAGTGATAAAGTTATACAAACCAGAATTTGGGTCATAACTTTCCAGTTCTGTGATCATGGCTAAATGAGTTCATCTGTTTTGCAGTTCACCCATAAGAATGTGGATGAGGCAGACGTGAGATGACAGGAGTAGAGAGCAAACAGCGGGCTCTCAAGCAAAGCAAATGAGCAACCACCTTAAAGCAGGCGACTTCAGGTGAGTCAGTTGAGAAGCTAGTGACTTGCTCAGGGTGACACAATTAGCAGTGGATGGCAGAGGACAGAAGCCCAGACTGAAACCTGTACACTGTGTAGAAGGCTGACCTTATTCAGTGTACACGCACATGTACATATGGCATGTACTCATGCATGCACAGAAATGTGCCAGGCATCTGAGTAACAAGTGAGAATGCTTTGTATGCTGTTTGGTCATTTGCATGTCTCCTAGTACAGAATGTCAAAATTGGAAAAGTTTCCCAGACCTATGTCTAAAAACACAGGACTGCTTTGCTGGGCATGACATTGGTAAGTTATTGTTCTTGCCACAGTGTTTTCACTTGCAAGGTGGGACGAATGAACCTGCCTTCTAATTAACATGAAGATTAATTACATATCTGCCATGTTCTTTGAATTTCTTAAGTAGGCGGGAGCCTCCCCCAGGGTGGCGTTTGCGTGTGACAGTTGGGATGGCATATTTGGGTCATCAGCCCTCTTTCAACTATGCAGTGCCACGCTTCAGTGTTAAGCAATACTGTGCTCTTAAAGAGAGAGAGGGAGAGAGAGAGAAAGAGAGACAGAGAGAGAGAGAGATTGTTCTTCTTCTGGTTCACTTCCTAGATGGCTGTAACTGCCAGAGCTGAGCCGAGCTAAAGCCAGGAGACAGGAGTTCCCTGTGTGTCTCCCACATGGGTGCAGGGGCCCAAGGATTCCAGCGATCCTAAACTGCTTTCCCATGCCTTAAGCAGGAAGCTGGGTTAGAAGTGGAGCCGATGGGACTGGAACCAGTGCCCATAGGGGATGCTGATGCCACAGTCAGAGGATTAGCTTGTTGAGCCACCACGCAAGTCCCAATACTGTCCTCTTGACAGTTTCCATTTTTCCCCCTTAACTTCTGTTTTTTGGAGAAGTAACAGAAAATACATTTCCATTATGGCAAGAAAGACATATTTAAATACCAGTTTCTCACTTCTTCATTTTTCTGAAGTTTCTGATAAACCTGTTCCTTTCTAAATAAATTTTGTTTTAAAAGCTCATTTCTTGACTACATAGTGCATATACATGTACAGGGCCAACACTTAGAAGGTACAAAAGGGTATGTGTGGCAGCGTCTTCCCAACCTTACCGCCCACCCTCAGCTTCTCTTCCCGGGGGGGAACCGTTTCGAGGAAACACATGCCTCCACTTCCCGATGTGCTTGTGTCCGCTAGCGCTGAAGCAGGCTATGAGGCAGAACCTACGGGATGTTTGGGAGTCTAAAACCTTCATATTTGCTTCATATCTCTTGTTTCTCCTTGGTACTGTTTCTTGCTTTTTTTTTAAAAAAAGATTTATTTTTATTATTTTTTCATTGGAAAGGCGGATATACAGAGAAGAGAGACAGAGAGGAAGATCTTCCGTCTGATGATTCACTCCCCAAGTAAGCGCAACGGCCGATGCTATGCCGATCCGAAGCCAGGAGCCTCTTCTGGGTTTCCCATGCGGGTGCAGGGTCCCAAAGCTTTGGGCCGTCCTCTACTGCTTTCCCAGGCCACAGGCAGGGAGCTGGAAGGGAAGCAGGGCTGCCGGGATTAGAACTGGCGCCCATATGGGATCCTGGGCGTGCAAGGTGAGGACCTTAACCACTGCGCCACCGCGCCGGGCCTGGTACTGTTTCTTAAAGAGCATCCCACTTTGGGCTTATCTTTCCCTCTGAGTTGTTGCATAGTATTGGATGAACAGAGTCTCAGCGATAGTTCACACGCAGGCCCATTTGTTCCATATTGCCATACTTTGTTTCTAGGATCCAGCCTGGGACGTGCATATTTTTAAAAATGATGGTTTGCTTTGATGACCCAAACACTGGGGCTTCTTTAAAGTGCAGTGATTAAACTCTGCAGCAAGTCATCCTCTATTCAAGATAGCTAAGAAAAAGCAACCTAGATGGTTTATGTCCTGAGTTGCTTATTACCACATATGGTGATTTTACAAAGAGAAATACAAAAGTGAGAGCAAGAACCACGACAGGGAGCAGCCCAGACCTTGCCAGGGAATTGTACCCACTGGAATACCTTTTGGCACAGGTCAGGGGCAGAGCGGGAAGGGCCAGTACACATCACCTGCTTGTGAATCCGAGCACCAGAATAGAGTGAGTTGGGCCAGGCTTGGTTGCAACACGTACCAGTACACATTAGGGCCAGGACTGGGTGCTTGCCGGAGTCCAGCTCCAGCTGAGTTCGGAGCTTGGGAAGGGTGTGTGGAGTCGGTGATAAAGAAAGACACAGCCACAGACACTTGGTGCGTTCTTGCTGCCTCTCCGCTCAAGAAGAAGCTGTCCTTTTTATTTTCTTAGACACATCACAAGTCTCTGCACAAACATTTGATGGCTTGCTGTGCTTGGTACCGAATTCATCAGCCCTGTGGATGTTGTGTCCTCTCCATCAGGGGTGGAATACTTGGTGCCTTTGCATTTGGTAAAGCCTGCTTTCGTCTAGGAAGTCCAAGGGCCTGGTGCCAACAGGTGTTCTCTGGAGCAATGGGCCCTTGGGAACTTGGCTGTTTGTGCTGGTGTCAGCTGACACTAGCCTGAGGAATCCGAGCCATGCAGGCTCCCTTCAAGCAGGCTGTTCCATCCAGGTAGAAAACTGCAACAATGAATTTTCAGAACCAACACTGCACATCGACCTTAGCTTTCAAGTTTCTAAGGAGAAAGAACCTTGTGAATTGGCTTCTTGGCTCAGTCCCAACCTCATGTTAACCTGATGTTACACCTAGCTCTGCCTTGCTTTCAGTTTATCAAAGCACCATTTAATTTTCAATCCTGAACTTTCCACATCCACAATCCAACAAAGACCCATTTGCTCGGTGAGATGGCTCTAGGCTCAAGGGTGAAGTGTCCGAATAAATCTTTGTTGAATACAGGAGACCCTAAATGTGAAAACAGGAAAGTGCTAATAAAAATAACAGCAACAAAAGATTTATTTATCTCCATTGGAAAAGCAGAGCTACAGAGAGAAGGAGATATAGACAGAAAGATTTTCCATTCACTGGTTCACTCCCCAAGGGGCCGCACCAGCCGGAGCTGAGCTGATCCAAAGCCAGAAGCCAGGAGCCTCTCCTGTGTCTCCCTTTTGGGTACAGGTTCCCAAGACCTTGGGCCGTCCTCCACTGCTGTCCCAGGCCACAAGCAGGGAACTGGAAGGGAAGTGGAGCAGCTGGGACATGAACCGGCGCCCATGCGTGATTTAGGTGCATGCAAGGCGAGGATTTAGCTGCGCCGGACCCTAATAAAAAGATGTCTTCGGCCGGAATCTCCATGTAAGATGATGAACCAGATTTGCAGATCATTTTGCTCCCAGTTTGTTCAACATTGTTTTCTTGGCATAGGAAAGCTCTCCTGCTAGCACTTGGCCTGGCTGACTCAGCCTAAACATCCCCTCCTTCCAGAAGCAATTCCAGAAGCAATTCCTGGCCGGCCTTATCTAAAAGTAGCCTACTCTCTTCATCCTGTCACTCCACCCCGCTGACGTATTTTATTTTCCTCATCAGTCTCTGAAATTATCTTGGTGCTTCATCTGCTGTCTGCCCATCACCATGAAGATGTAAACTCCAGGGGCCACAACACCGAGACAGCCCTGCCTGAACACGCTTGTAGAGAACGGGCGCACAAACACAAGAAACACTTGCCACTTGCCGGTCCTCCTTCCCCTCCCTGCAAGTAGATCCACCTGCACTACAACTTTGGCCAAAGGCAGGTGCAGGGAATTCGGCCTCACCATTGGCTGGACCACTTGCTGTTGCTCTGGCAACCATCGCATCCCACCAGACGTGCGACCGCCCCATTCAGGTCCCGTCCCCTCTGGCCCCGCCCACCTGGTCCCGCCCCCAGGCCCCGCCCCAGGAAGCCGAGTCTCGCTTGCTGTGGTTGGGAGGCGGGGTGGAACCAAAAAGCGGCGCTCGCCCTGTAAGCGGCGGGACTTCTGGTCACGCTGCCCACCGCCGCCGGAAGGGGAAGTTTCGCTTGGGAACGCTGTCTCGCTCGTCCGAATTCGGTGGCGCCACGTCCGCCGGTCTCCGCCAGTCTCCGCCGGTCTCCGCCTTGAACCCCGCCGCTTGGGCGGCTTCCGCCCAGACACCCAGACACCTTCCATTCGCGAGCCGGCCGCGGCGTGAGGGGCACCCTGTACGACGGCCGAGCGCACCCCGGCGACCTGCGAGGCGAAGATGTCGGACATCGGGGACTGGTTCAGGAGTATCCCGGCCATCACGCGCTACTGGTTCGCCGCCACCGTCGCCGTGCCCTTGGTCGGCAAACTGGGCCTCATCAGCCCGGCCTACTTCTTGCTCTGGCCCGAAGCCTTCCTTTATCGCTTCCAGGTACTGGCCGGCGGCGGGCCAGTGGAGACTACAGGTCCCAGACGGCCCCGCGGCCGCACAGCGGGAGGCGGCCTGGCGCGGGCGTGTGGTGCCTTGTGGGATTTGTAGTGCGGCTGCCCCCAGCGGTTTAGGGCGGGGTCCTGGGGCTCGGGGGTCTGCTGCGAGGGCCTGGGTTCGTAGCCGCGCGTGATTCTGGCCTGGTGAAATGTGCTGAGCCACCCCGTAGTAAGATTCTGCTTCCCGCCCCGTTGCGCTCAGTGATGGAGGCGGTGGGAAGGTAAGTCCATCATTGGTCTCTGAGTCACTAGGGTTGAGCACCCTGGGTCCAGCAGGAGCAGCGCCTTGGGACCTTCCTCTGTCACCCACGTGGGTGGCTTGTGGATGTCAACCTGACCACCTGTGCCTGAGGTGTGTTCATGTTAACAGAAGGTTTCTCTCCCCCACCCCCCTTCATCCCGCCCTGACAGGAGTGATTTAGAGTCAGGTATTCAGAGGAGGGGTTTAGCTGTGTTTGCTTCCTGCATGCAGTAGTAGGGTTTATGAAGGAATGAGTAAGGAGTAAATTGCCCCAAAAGCGGAAGGCCTTGCTGTTTCGTTATTGTGAACGAAGCAGTGCAGGTTAGTGTACTGGCCACAGAATATCAAGTCTTGGAGGTTATGTTCATTCAGTAGATATTATGATTTGAAAATGTTGACTCGTGGCGGGCTGGATTCTGAAATCTGCCATGGATTCCGGGACGTGACCTGGCGTGACAACATTCTTGTGTCTTCTGTTGCTCACGGGTGTCATTTTGTAGTCCTCCTTGTTGGCTGTCGCGCTGTTAACTGCTGCGTGTGGCTGTGCCCCAGCGAACAAGTGTGGAGCCCCTTCAGTAGGTTTCCTCTAGCTCCTTCGTGATCTCTCTCAGTCTCACGCCTGGAAGTCCCTGCTACAACCTCAAGGCTGTCACGTTGACAGACAGCGGAGATGTTCTCAGTCCAGCTGTGTCCTGCTTCTGGTCCTGTGCGTCCCACAGCCCCCTGCCACGGCCATTGGCGTGGCTTCCAGGTGTCCGTCACACGGGGTGCGAATTCATGCGGCGGTGGCTCCGTTGCTAGAGGTCTCCTAGCTAACACTTGTGCAGTCATCCCTCAGCGTGCTTTTCTCTCCCCGCCACAATCTTTCAGCAAATCTCGTGGGCTCTACCTTAGGCCTGCATGCAGGATACAGGCCCTTGTCATTGCTGCTTGCAGACTGCATTCTTTCCATCGTCCTCTCCGTCTTCTCTAGAAAACTTGAGTTATCTTTTTTTTTTTTTAAATAGCTCTTTATTTTTATAAAGGCAGATTTACAGAGAGAAGGAGAAACAGAAAAAAATCTTCCATCCTCTGTTTCACTCCCCAGATGGCTGCAACGGCTGGAGCTGAGCTGATCCAAAGTCAGGAGTTTCTTCTGGGTTTCCTACACGGGTACGGGTTCCCAAGGCCTTGGGCCGTCTTCTACTGCTTTCCCTGGCTGCAAGCAGGGAGCTGGAAGGGAAGTGGAGTAGCTGGGACACAAACTGGTGCCCATTTAGGATCCTGGTGGTGCATGGAGAGGACTTTGGATACTACACTGTCACACCGGGCTCTTGAATTATCTTTTAAAAATGTAGATCATGGGGGCCTGGCACTGTGGCTTAGCAGTTGAAGTCCTTGCCTTGAACATGCCAGGATCCCATATGGGCACCGGTTCTGGTCCTGGTAGCTCCACTTCCCATCCAGCTCCCTGCTTGTGGCCTGGGAGAGCAGTCGAGGACGACCTAAGGCCTTAGGATCCTGGGAGACCTGGAGGAGCTTCCTGGCTCCTGGCTTTGGATTGGCGCAGCGCTGGCTGTTGTGGTCACTTGGGGAGTGAATCATTGGACGGAGGATGTTTTTCTCTGTCTCTCCTCCTCCCTGTGTGTCTGCCTTTCCAATAAAAATGAATTAAGTCTTTAAAAAAAAATGTAGATCATGGCCTGTTAGTATTGCTCCCGTGACCCTCGGCTGTCTTCTCAACTCCACGAATAAAATGCATGTTCCTTGAGTGTTTGTCAAGGTCCCCACCATTGCCGCTAGGGTCTTGTTTCCTCCTGTCCTCAGCTGGATTCATTGGTCTGTGCAACGGGGTCTTTGTTGCCTCAGGTCCCCAACGCCGGCCTTCCTCAGGCCCTCTTACGTGGGGAGCGAACTGAGGCGCATTGCTTAACCCATCCTTCAGGTGTGTCCAACGGCTGTGTCACGGGCCGGTGCCTGGCTGACTGCCCTGTGTGAAGTAGCATTCCTGCTTCACTCCATCATCATCCTGTACTGTTAGCCTTCTTCCCCTTAGAGAAGATTCTGTTAGAGCCGGGGCTTTGCCTAGCACATAGTGGTGCCTGTTGGTTGAATTCATGAAAGTAATTGGGCACTTTCTGGGCACTGGGTGTACAGTAAGGAAGAAGATGTGCAAGCTTGCAGAAAATAGAGGCAGTGATGGAAGCGATGTGGAATGTGGTAGTTGACAGGGTCTTTTACAAGAACATCACCCAGTATTTACAGAATGTCCTTGGGAGGATCTGATTGGAGACAAGCAGTCTTTCAGCAAATAGCAGGGGGAAGGCTTAGAGACGGGAATGGGGACCAGAGAGCCAGGAAAGCCAGTGGAGAGTCAGTCACAGAGTGGGGAGAGTTGGGAGATGAGGATGGGGAGGTTCACCAGGGGCGAGTGTAGCAAAGTAAAGATGGAAAGTTAGGTTAGGGCTCCGATACTTCGGGAAGAAGTTTGAACTTTAGGGGCAGCACTTTGGCTTAGCTGGCAAAGCCTTCTCCTGCAGCGCTGGCATTGTTATGGGCATGGGTTTGAGTCCCCAGTGTTTGACTTCTGATCCAGTTCAGTTCCCTGCTAACGTGCAGAGGATGGTCAAAGTGCTTGGGCTCCTGCACCTGCATAGGAGACCCAGAGGAAGCTCCTGGCTTCTGGCTTCAGACCAGTTCAACTCCATCCATTGTGTCCATTTGGGGAGTGAACCAGTAGTTGGAGCATCTCCTTTCCTGTCTGTGCCTCTCCTCTCTCTGTGTAACCTCGGAGTGGACAGGATTACAGGTGAGTGGATGTGAGGGTGAGTAGGCGATGGGGTCGATGCCACAACTTGCTGAGTGGCTGAGTGGCTGGTGGAGGGGCCCTTTGCTGAGGTCAGGAAGTGTCTGCTGGCGGGATTGGGGCAGGTGGATGAAGAATGATGTTTTCTCCTAGTGGATGCTGTGCTCAGCTTTGATACTTTTTAGGCAGGATGCACACAGGAATGCCATTCTAGATGCCAGCTGGGCTTGCTGGTGTTCTTGTGATTGACTTTAGGAACAGTTAGCTGACAGTGAATGCTGTGCGCTTGTGCCTGCTGGCATGTTGGGGCATGGGCGTTTTGGATGAGCAGTGTGTGTAAGTCATTTTATGAGCAGGACATGGTCAGAACTGGCTGTTGGATCCATCTTGCAGAATCTTACAGGCTGCTTGCTTGAGTCGGAGTAGAATCCACGCTGACACTGCCACCCTGCCTGCCGGTGGCTGGAGCTGCACAGAGTTCAAGGCACTCAGTGACCAGAGACTGGCCTTTCACATCTCCCAGGTGTGCCCATCTTCCTGGTGAGAGGCTGTGGGCAGGAGGCAGGTGGGTTCATTGGTACAGAGAGTTCTACATCCTTTTGATGCTTTGGAAAAGTTTTCCAAAAAACGTTTTCCATTTTGGAAAAGTTAAACTTTCAGGACCCTGGAGGAACTCACTTGCAGATGAAGCTCCTGAGAGGCTGTGTGCGGGGCAGTAGCCCGGGCTCTGCCGGAGGCTGGGCCTTTGCGGTAAGGCGTTGGGTACTGCAGTTCAGTTGTTGCATGGAATTCTTGCATCTGGTCTCAGACTGCCTGGTTCTGGCGGGCTCCTTCACTTCCAGTTCGGCTTTCTGGGAGGCAGTATGTGGTGTCTGCAGGAATGGGTCTGCCACCCATAGAGGAGAGCCAGCCTGAGTTCTGGGCCCGTGGCCTTGGCCTCCACTAGTTCCGGCTGGCATGGACGTTCTAGGAGTGAACCAGTTAGATGGCTGACCTTTCTCCGTCTGTTCCTTTGTCTCTGCCTTTTGTATACATAAAATAAAGTAACTGAAAATAAAGAAGCTAAGTTTTTAATAGCTTTAAAACCCTTGAGTGGGCCTGACACTGTAGCCTAGTGACTAAAGTCTTCAGCTTGCACGCTCTGGGATCCCATATGGTCTCTGTTTTGTGTCCCAGCAGCCCTGCTTCCCATCCAGGTCCCTGCTTGTGGTCTGGGAAAGCAGTGAAAGACAGCCCAGAACCTTGGGTCCCTGCACCTGCCTGGGAGACCAGAAGAAGCTCCAGGCTCCTGCCTTCTGATCACCTCAGTTCTGGCCATTGTGGCCACTTGGGGAGTGAATCAATGGAATGAAGATCTTTCTCTCTCTTCATCTCTGTGTGTCTGACTTTCCAATAATCAATCAATCAATCAATCTTTGTTAAAAAAATCCTTGAGGAATGACTGTTTTGGAGTTGTGCATTCATGTTGGAAATGCTGAGGTTTTTTTTTTTTTTCTGCTTACCTGTAGGGTTCGTCTGTTGACGTTGTTGGTTTGGAATTCTAAAGATTAAAATATTATTTTTGGTTTGGATAGCTTGAAGCCAATATGTTCTAAGACTGTACTGCTGTCCACGGTCTCCCTGTTCCAAACCCGTTGTGTTTAAACCCGTCAGACAACGATCGCAGGGATCGGGTCTTTTCAGCTGGAGTTTGTTGGTAAGAGAGCTAGTTCACACATAATTGGGGTTTGGATGTTGAATTGTGCTGGCTGGTGTTTCGGTGCATAGAGGTTAAAATCTTTCTTAGGGGTCCTGCTTTGCTATAGGCCTGTAGGTAAGGTTACCTTATTAGATCTTTGCTTATTTTTTTTAAAAAAAGATTTATTTATTTTTATTAGAAAGGCAGATTTACAAAGAGAAGGAGAGACAGAGAGAAAGA